AATGCCCAGCTCCTGTTTTTGAGCCCAATTTAGAATACCCAAGGACGATGCTGCTTTCTCAGGCCCTGCTATCTTAACTTTCTCATGGGCCTAGTCAGACTGCATCTTGTACTTTAGCAGCTCATCCATAGCCTTAGCCATGTTCATATGTCCTCGCATTTCTAACCAATCCCCTATAGTTCTGTCCCCAAATCTGTCCTCAGCCTGAGGTTGAAGCCCCTCTGTGTTCTCCCCACCCCACAGGGAGGGTCCAGCCCAAGGCCAGTGAGGACGTCTCAGGCAGGGGGGACCCCCCACCAGGTTTGGGGGCACCCTTGCCCATGGCTAGAGGTGAGAATCTGGAATTTGGGGGATTTGAGGGAGCTGGGGAGTGGGGGGGCAAAGGTCTTGCTGGGCATTTATTGATTTCCAACTTAATTTATTTCCCTTCCCTAAGAACTTCCTTCCCTTCCCCAGGGGTTTCTTTTCCCCCAGGAGTTTCCTTCCCTTCTCCAGGAGTTTCCTTCCCCCAAAACTTGCCTTTCCTCACCCAAAACTTGCCTTTCCCAAAACTTGCCTTTCTTAGAGCTGGGGGCTGAGGCCATGGTGGGTTCCCCCCTCTGTCCCCTCCCCTCCCTGCTCCTCCCATGGTGTCTGACCCCACTCTGGAGTGTCCCTGGGGTTTCACTGTCCCCTCTCTGAGGTGTCCCTGACCCATCCCTGAGGTTCCTGACCCCACTCTGGGTGTCCCCGGGGTGTCCCTGACCCCTGTCCGTGGTGTCCCCTCTCTTTCTCCTCCAGGTCACCCATCCCTGGACTCAGTTTTGGTGCTGCTGCAGGAGGCCCTGGGCTGGATCAGCCACTTCCCCCCGGGGTCCCTGTACGGGGGGCTGTGCCAGCTGCTGGCCCTGCTCATGGGGGACAGGGACCCCCTGGGCACAGCGGGGCTGCTCTCAGAGTCCTTGTGTGTCACCGCCCGCCACCAAATGCTGGGCATCCTGCACAGCCGGGCAAGGTGGGTGTCCCCTCCCCGTGTCCCCTCCCTGTGTCCCCTTCCTTCATCCCCAGGGCTTTGGGCCCCATTCCATTGCCCCATCCCAATGTCCCCTCTCTTCCCCACCATCCCCCCCGTCCTGGGGCAGGGTCTCACCCCACACTCCCCTCACCCTCCAGAGGTCATTTTGGGATGACCTTCACCTTTGAGATGATCCCCTCTCACCTTTGGGACAATCCCCCCCTCACCTTTGGGATGATCCCCCCACTCAGGAAGAAGAGGAAGAAGGAGAAGTTGGGAGGGGATGTGTCAGAGCAGCTCCAGGGCCTTTCCCTGCGGGAAGGGGGGGACCCCCCCCAGCCCTGCCCTCGCCTGGCCCAGCTCGAGGGGCTCTTCCAGTTCAGCACCTCAGGGCTGGGGCCTCCAGAGAGGGAACAATTCCGGGAGCAGATCCAGCAGATCCCCAGTGGTGAGTCCACGGGGGCCACTGGGACCAGCACTCAGCACTGGGGAGGGGGATCCTGAGCCCGGGGGGGTTTGGGTGTCCCCCTGTGCAGGATATGGAGGGGCTGGAGAATGAGGAAAACAAGAAAGGGCTGGAGAAGGAGGGAAAGTGGCTGCAGAAGAAGGAAAAGGTGCCCTGGGGGAGGTGGGTCTGTGGTGCCCTGGGGAGTCTGTGATGTTTTGGGGGGCCTCTGATGGCCGGGGGTGTCCCTGACCTCGTGTGTCCCTAGGGGTGACCGTGGTCCTGCTGGCCCTGGGCAGCCCCTGCCCGGGGGCCGTTGGGGACACTCTGCTCCTGACGCGGCTGGAGAGGGACATGAAGCCCCTGAGCATCCGGATCCCCACCCACAGGTCCCAGGTGAGGGCAGCGAGGGCATTCCAGGGTCTGGGATCCGTCCCCAGCCGCCTCCTCATCCTGGGGAGGAGCGAATTCCCCATTCCAGGGGCTGGCATCATGGACCACCCTCACCTTCATCCTGGGGAGGGGGCACCCCCCATTCCAGGATCCCTTTAGGGAGTCAGTCACCATTTCAGGGGGTGGGATCCCTTTAGGATGTCCCCCCACCATTCCCAGACCCTTGATGCCTCCCCCTCCAGGCCCCCCTCAGCTCCATCCTGAGGGAATTTGAGTCGATCCAACGTGAGCAGAAGGAAGCCAACGGATGCACAGACAAGCAGGAGTGGTGGTCACGGCGTTCCCGGCTGGATCAGAGGATGAAGGTGGGGAGACCCCCCCCCAGCCCCAAATTTGGGATGGGGGTGTCCTGACCCCTCTGAGTGACTTGTCCTGGAGTTGGATCCCGTTACCTTTTGCACCTCTCCCTATCCCCTTCTCTGTCTCCCTTTCCCTTTTCCA